TTTAAAAAGTCAGTACAAGACTCAAAGTGGTGCCATGGAGATGGCTTAGTAGAATAAGTACTTCTCTGACAAGTGCAAGGCCTTGAGTTCAAGCCCTGGTTCCGGGGGGAGAAAGAGGGGAGACTCAATAAAGTAAGAATTATGCAAATCACCAGGTATTACTAGCCAGAAAGTAAAATTATATCTATGTAAACCAGCCTTGTTTGGACTTTCAAGGCATATGTATTAGTATTCCCTGCCTGAAGAAAGCAGGTCCAAGGTGCCAAACAGGTAGTGAAGTGGAGATGGAAACATGAATCACCCACATCTCAGCGCATTTAGTGTTATACATTAATGTGAACTTTTTAATGTTCAAGGGTATGAAAATATCCTGACTTTAGGGGCTTGGGTGTTACTCAGTGATAAAGCACTGGCCCAACATGTATGAAGCCATGGCTGTGACCATACACACAACCCTGGCTTGACCACCACACTGCACACGTGTTCAAGTATTTCATTGTACTCTACAATTTCTTCTTCTTTTTTTGGGTGGTACCAGGGATCAAATTCGGGACCTTGTGCTTGCCAGGCAGGCACTTACGCCACTGAGTTAACTCCCCAGCCCCTCACTGTACTCTATGTGCATAATTAAAATAATGATTAGTACTTTTAAAAGTTACCTGTCTGGGTAGAAGCCCCAATGCACTAACACCTGCTTGTCCTTTCTCATCACTGGTCTCAACCACTCTTCTGAAAAAGGAATAAAAACAAACATATCAATCAAACTGATAAATTAAGGGAGTATGATTTAGTCTCAATTTTTACTGTAACTTTTTGCTTTGTTAATGACAAAAATTTAAATTGAAGACCACCTGCCATAAAAAAGAAATTTCTCAGCTTATGTATTGTGACTTTCTAGACTCTGTGACAAAACCAACTCTGCAGTAAATGAGCCCTGTTATCTGCTGTCCTGTCCCACTTTTCTTCTCAAATCACAGGCACCATTCCCTTCACTTTCCATTTCCACATGATCCTTTCATCTCTCTCTGCTAGAGTCTGCATTAGCCACAGGTTTCAGGAAGGAAGTTATGCCTCATCTCCTTGGTGAAGGGGGTTTACTACCTCCAGACTCCCCTTAGTGCTACACCTATAAGGACTGGGGACATACAAAGCAGCAGAGCACTTGCTGAGTACATACAAAGCCCTGGGTTCTGTGCCTAGGACCACAAGCATTGAGATCTCACATTGTAGTGTTTCCTCTCAGGTTCTCTTTCCAAAGATAGGAGGAAATTATAAAATAAATAATAATCTTAATTAATAACCTCAATTAGGTTAATTCTACACTTTAGCACTGGTTGTTAAGTACTTAAGTAGTCTAGATTTAGCTTAGAAAACCTGTGAAGTCTGGGGAAAGGCCTTGAAAGCCAAGAAACAGCAAAGAAGTAAAACCTAGTGAAACAGCCATAAAATTGATTTTTCAATGTCACTTTGAATGAGAAATGACCCTAGTGTCATAGAGTACGGCCAGGAAGGCACACAGGTAATCCTATACATATTCTGAACCATCTACCTGGATGTCCATCTGTCTCCAAAATAAGTTAAAAAAAAGAAAAAAGAATTGGGCCTGGACCTTAAAATAACATCCTACTGTGGCAAAGGTCTGAAAAAAAGGTGTCAGTGGACCTTCCTTTCTAAATCCACACCCTATGAACTAACCTCCTGCTATCATTTTGGAAGTGTCTCTCTCAAAGACCCATATGGCAAACGCCTGTTACTGGACCTGCCATAGCAGAAGCTAAAATAGGCAGGGCATGGCCTAGGCAGCATTTACCCAATCACTGGGGCCTCCCACTGAAGGGAACACTGGGACTCCTCCATTCTTTCAAGTCCCAGACACTACAGGTGAGCAGAGTCCTTCTCCATTCCCCCAAAACATGTGTTTCCTCATCACAGGACCCAAATGATTACAGTCAAATGTCAAGATTCAGTCCAAATACACTCCAAAACACACCTGTCTTGTCTGCCTTGGCTTTCATAATTAGTAAGAGTATCTAGTAAGCCTATCTTTAAAGATTACACGTCTATGGTTAAAAAAAAAAAAAAAAAAAGATATCCATCTTCATCCTATATGACTGTACTTGAAAGAAACACTGGCAGTTATTGCTTTTGAAAAATAGCCTAAAAGCTTTTGTTTTTTTACATTCTTCCCATGATAAAAATTTATACCCAAAATTTATTTTTTAATGTATTTGGCTGTTACAGGGTCTCACTATGCAGCTTGGACTCATAGTGATCCTCCTGTTTTCAGCCTCTCCAGCGCTGGGACTACAAGGGCATGCCACTATGCCTGGACACCGTGGCTGGCTCAGCCCCCCTTGGGGGTGTGGCTGGTGCGGCATGAGGTACCAGGGATCGAACCATGATACCTGCGCTTTCCTAAGCAGGCACTTTAGTCCACTGAGCTATCTTACTGGCCCATACACCCAAGATTCAAAAAGGTGTAACACACAACTTGGAAAAGCAAGAATTCACTGAGGGAACAACTTATTTCCCAAGAAAAAGAGATACCAGAGTAGCACCGGAATGACTGAGAGAGGAACACCTAAGGAAAAGCCTTACTCAGGGTTTTCATGGAAAAGGCGGAAGTCCAGTAAGCAGTTTAGAGCTGGCTCATCTGAGTAACTCAAGCAGGATCATCAGAGAATAAAGTGAATGTCAACCTTGAATCTAGCACCAGGCAATGATGGGGAACCTTATAAAGCTTTCAACAATATAAACAGCCCTCTGTGGCATGTGAATAAGTTTGCTACTACTGATCTAGGAAAAGGGAAGTAAGAACATGGTCTATGAGAATTGAGATGTGACAGGGTGAGTCCATATCCTTGGTTAGTTTACATATCAAAGGTGTTCGCCTAAGTTGTTACCTTTAGGAATAAGCTACCCCTCACAGGGGCAATTTTTCCCCAAGCTCTCAAATATCATAATATTAAGACTCACAAATTTGTTTTTGTTTTAATTCATTTAACTGCAGTGACTTCCATTTATTTTGATACATCTTTTCTCCATGGTGATTTACAGGATCTTCAAGCCAATATAAATATTTCATAATTACTTGGCCATTTGAGTATATACCTACATAATACCACAGTAATATCGTTCAGCAAGAAAAACATGGAAGAGTAAAGACCTGATACAATTAAACAGACAGAAACAAAATCTAGGGCTGGGGAGAGAGCTCAGTGGTCTAAGCGCCTGCTTAGTAAGTACAAGGACCAGGGTTCGATCCATGGTACTGCATGTGAGGCAGAGACTACATGTCCTAAATGCATAGTGAGACCCTGTATCAAATGAATAAATAACTTAAAAAAAAAAAGAAAATCTACTCCAAACATTTGTTTCTGAGGTAAAGGCACCACATACCTGTTCAATTAAGAAAACCATCCTACAACACAGAATGACTTTTTTAAGTAGGGCCTCTTAGCCACCAATTAGGTACTGAATGGCAAAGCTACAGGCCCAGCTTACGCAATGAATTCACAGGGAATAGGTTCCCACAACTCGGGCTCCTTCCCTTTGGTTCTCACAAAGTGTGCGTCGATTGAACCCAGGTACCTTTCTCTTTGACTTTTTTTTCTGACCATTTACCTTGACACGTTTCAGGAAGCTACCTTGACTCTTTGGAGTGTTTAATATGCTCAATACCCAAATTAACCCTCTTGACAAGTATCTTGCCCTTAACTTGCTTGTTTACAACAGTGCCAAAAGTATGCTGGGTTAACACTATAGATTTTTTCCTTTTCTTCCATGGCAATATTTGTGTGACATGCTTTTTTGCACATTCCTTTGATGTCCACAATAGCAGCCTTCTGTACATTCATATGTATGTGGCCTAAGGAACAACCCCATGTTTTCTTTTTTTTTGCTCTGAATGCCTTCAGGGCAGGTTTGGCTGGCTTGAGTTGTGGGGATCGAACCACAGCAACCTCAGCCTGACTACTTTGTTGAAGCAGCCACTTAAAGAACTGAGCTAAGGGGCAGGCCCCCAACCCCATGTTTTCTAAAAGACCTAGAAAACGTACAACAGGCTCCCCTCCTCTTTACCATTATATTTGGCATTTTGGCGAATTACTGAATGAGCGTGGTTCCAGCCTAAAGCAAGACTCACAAATTAAAAATATAAAATCAGGGGTTGGCAAGATAGCTCAGTGGACTAAAGTACCTGCATAGACAAGAGCAGGGATCACAGTTTGATCCCTGGCAACATATGCCATGCCAGCCCCACCCCCAAGGTGGGCTGAATGGGCCAGAATCTGGGCATAGTGGTGCACATCTATAATCCCAGCACCAAGGCTGAAAGCAGGAGGATCACCACAAGTCTGAGCTGTGTAGTAAGACCCTGTAACAACCAAATACATTTAAAAAAGAAAAAAAAAAAAAAAATCAGCTGGGCAAAGTGAGTCATGCCTATAATCCCAGTTCTAGAAGGATGGCGCAGAACGGCTGAAGTTCAAGCCCAGTCTACGCAACCTGAAAGATTATCATAAAATAAAAAAAATGGACTAGGGATATAGCTCAATATGAAGTCCTGGGTTCACTCCCCAATACTGAAAGGAAAATATATATATAATGAATATAGTTAGCAGTGTGATAAATGGATGCTTTCAAGACAAATAATAGTATTCGAGAAAATACAATGAAAACCCAAAAGATGATTATATGCTATTTCAAACCAATTTTTTTAACACATAATTTTATGTTTCAAATTGGTCCAACCCTAAATATAGAGATAACATTTAGAAGTCAAGAATTAAAAGGCAGGGCCAGTTGAGATGGCTCAGTGGACTAAAGTGCCTGCTTAGGGAAGCTTAGGCAAGTATAGGGATCTACGTTCGATCCTGGCACCACACACCATGCCAACCCCCTACGGCAGACTGAGCAGGCCACACAGTCCAAGTATAGTAGCATACGCCTGTAATCCTAGAGCTGGGGAGGCAGACAATACAAGAATTACTATGAGTCCAAGCAGCATAGTGAGACCCTGTAACAACCAAATGCATTAAATACATAAATAAATGATTTTTTAAAAAAGAATTAAGAGGCAAATAATCCACCTTAAAAAAACATGAGCAAATGATTAAAAATACAAATAACTAAAAAAACACATGATTTTTGCTGGTCTTCTGAAAGGAGCAGTTAATCCTTAAAAATTTTTTTTTCTTCTTTTCTTTCCTTCTTTTGAAGTTCTTACAATTTTCTTGTCACTGTTTTGTTTTTTCTTTAAACAAATCTTGCACATTTATATCTGGTAACCTGAACAACTAATCTGAAGACAACATCATGTAATACAGCAACCACTGTTGAATTCCTATTATTTGGTTTAGTGAAAATTTTGTATTCTTTAAAAAATAAAATTTAAAAGGCACATGAACTCACCACGTTTTTAATTTTTTTTTTTTTAATGTATTTGGTACAGGGTCTCATTATGCAGCTCGACTCATATAGTGATCCTCCTGTTTTCAGCCTCCCGAGGGCTGGGATTACAGGCATGCACCACCACACCCAGCCTTGGTGGCCAGCTCAGTGCACCAGGAGTGGGCTGGCGTGGCAGGTGGTGCTGGGCATGGAACCCCAGTCTGTATGCTCGCCTAAGCAGGCACTTATTAGTCCACTAAGCTATCTCACTGGCCGGAACGCACCAATAATAGAAAGGAAAAAAAAAAAAAAAAGGAAAGGAAAACACAAATCAAACC